GACAGTCTGAGCAGAATTCATGAGTCATAGTTAATCTATGGACAGATGACTTTTATTGTGAAGGATTGCTGCCGGAAGTGTTGTCGTTGCAGTCTGCAGAAGCTGAGGAATAGAAAGTGTTTGTGATGGGGCCAATCCCGCAGTGAGGAGTGTCTGAGGTTCCGTTCTAAAGAGAGCTGATCAGTGAGCTGATGTTTCATCCTCAGAGGAAGACTATGGATCTTCTTCCTCTCGTGTGTCTCTGTCTGCTGACCTGGTCTGCAGGAACGGCTGCTGATCACAGTAAGAAAACTCATCACTCTTCTTTTATTTCTGAAGCTGTCTGAAACAGGAAATGAATGAGGCTGCAAACACCTGCAACTGCCATCGTGATGTAAAATGCATCCTGATAATCGATAGTATTGATTGACTTGATTCCAACTTTCTGATCAGTGACAGTATTTTAGGAGCTGCTGTGTGTGTGTGTGTGTGTGTGTGTGTGTGTGTGTGTGTGTGTGTGTGTGTGTGTGAGGGCGTCGGCTCCATCCTGTTTTGATCAGGTAGTTCATTGATGAGCTGCAGACAAACTCTTCTCTTTATGAATACTAATGAAAACTGTATACTGTATATATATATTACTGCCTGTTTATATCACAGTATACTGTATATATGTTACTGACTGATTATAAGCTGTTTAAACTGTATACACTGTATATATTAATGTACATACCTGTCTATAACATGTTCCATACATACATTTACTACATTACTGCACAACATGTTTACATTAGAGTTTATAGATTGGACTTTTATGTATTTGTTGGTTTATTTAACAGGTACACTGGTGCACATTAATGCCCTCTAGGGTGCTCATCCTAACCATGACTCAGCTGTTTCACAACTGTCTGCACTCTGATTACTTTGTTTTATATATATATATATATATATATATATATATATATATATATATATTCCCTCTGGCTGTAAATACCAAGAGGATAATTTCCATCTGTAGTCCCTGAACAGATGTTACACAGTCACCATAAAAACATTGTTACCTTACAGATCTTGTCCCAGAGTTCCTGTGTTTGTCATGGTTTCCTTTATTTATTGAGCTAATAAGTTAACATTTTAATAAATACCGGAGGAGCTTCACTTTTCTTTAGTCTCATCTTTGGGAAACCTGCGAACACAAATAAGTGAAAATGCACATTACATGTGCAGATAGAGAGAGAGAGAGGAAGAGAGGAGCTCAGTGCATCATGGGAAGTCCCCCAGCAGTCTAGGCCTATAGCAGCATAACTAAGGGATGGTTCAGGACTCACCTGAGTGCAGTGTTCTAGAGGGGTAATAGGGTACCATGAGCTCTTTAAGATATGAAGGGGCCTGACCATGAAGAGCTTTATAGGTGAGGAGGAGGATTTTAAATTCTATTCTACATTTTACAGGGAGCCAGTGCAGAGAAGCTAGTACAGGAGAGATGTGATCTCTTTTTCTAGTTCCTGTCAGTACTCGTGCTGCAGCGTTCTGAATTAATTGGAGCATTTTAATGGACTTATTGGGGCAACCTGATAATAAAGAGTTGCAGTAATCCAGCCTTGAAGTAACAAATGCATGGATTAGTTTTTCTGCAGACAAGTACAGAGAGTCCGTTGTCTGATGCAGTTAAAAGGTTGTTAGTAACTTTAACCAGTACCGTCTCTGTGCTGCCTTGTGGAACTCCACAGGTTAAATCTGCTGTGGATTACAGTGATTGGCCTCTGGTGTCAGATACATTTTATTATACAGGATTTAAACCAACTCAGTGTTAAACCTCAGATACCCACTGCTCAACCATGTCAACTGGTGGAAACTGGCATCTTATCTTTGTGTTTCTCTGGATCATTGATTCATTGCCAACTTTGGTCTCACGCTTACAAAAACATGTTGAAGCCACTAACCACATTATCCATATTATTTATGGTTTTATCGATATCAATAAAATACTGAGGGTAACTTGATTTTCTATGGAGCCATTTTGTCACGCCCATGGGTGAAACCCATGTGACATTTTTACCACCAATAATAATCCTAGCAGTTTCAGTAGGTAATCTGAAATCTGACTGTTCACTAAACTGCTCATAAACTGGTGTTTTTGAGTTATTGTAAATCTGACTTTGGTTCTACATATGAACACACTGATTATACAAGTGTTTGTCTTCCAGGTCCACCTGTCATCAAACTGGTGGTGATGGAAGGGAGTGATGCCATTTTACCCTGTTCCCTCGGCACTTCCAGCATTAAGGAAGAGCTCTTTGACTGGAAGAGAGATCGTCAGGAGGTGTTCCTGTATGATAAGCGTGATGAATACAATAATGGCCGTCCAGGTCAAGACCCACAGTTCAAAGGACGGGTCTTTCATTTTCCAGAAGCTGTGCAGTCGGGTAATGCCTCCATAGTTATCAGAAACACACAGGTGTCTGACAGTGGAACCTACACCTGTGATTTTCCTCGACATCAGCCACAAAGACGATCCCGCATTGAGCTTCTTATTGGTGAGTGCTTCCATCAAACAGCTGTAAAGATGCTGCTCATTCACAGACACAGAGACTGGTTCAAGTGTGCCACATGAGCTCCAGCTGCCATCAGACAGTCAGAGTAACACATCTGGACGAGGCCCTGTCCTGAGGACGGAGGCTGCTGTAGCTTTGTGTAGAAGCTGCATACACATTCAATCTGTGGCATTTCTGTTTCCTCTCTAACTGTTTATGTTTCATAGTGTGCTGTCCCTGTGAAACAAACAAACAGATAAACTGTTGGATAAACACCGGGAAGAGAGTCCCCTCCATACTGCTGAAGTTCTATATGTTTCCTTTCATTGAGTCATATTGCTGTTTGTAAAGTTCATTCTGAGCAAGGTAAAGGACGGCAGAAATAGTCCGGTTCATAAGCCCTATTAAACATTAACTTGTTGCTTTTACACTTAAGGTTTTATACAGATTAAACAACATGTTAGTTAGTGAACCTTAGAGGAGCTGGTAGGTGGATTATTTCACTGTTCAGCAGACACAGACTGTTTCCCCTGTTTCCAGTCTTTGTGCTGAGATTACCGGCTGTTGGCTGTAGCTTTATATTTAATGTACAGATAATAAAGTGATATTAATTTTACCATCTAACTCTTCACCAGAATGCAAATAAGCATTTAATATCCCAAAATGTCAAACAGTTTCTTTGGGAAAGCCCTGCATGTGGGTTGTTATAAAGGATGTCCTTATGAGAGCACTCACAGCTGGTTTGGAAAGTTCTGGGTTAACAGAGGAAGTTGATGATCATCAGTTTTGTGAGACAGAGGATCCACAACCAGCAGTGTTGCTGTAATAAAGACAGATTACTCAAAGATATCCTTCAACTACTTCTTAAGACCTCCTCCTGAGGCTTCTGGTCCAGCAGCAGTCAGAGGTTTACAATGAGCAGATCTGTGATGTGCCACATTTATTAACCATGTTTGATCAGATGAAATCTCTTCTGGAGGCAGCTGCTTCACACGGTGCTGTTAGATGTGTTTTCTCTTCCAGGACATAAAACCAGTCTCATCTGTGAATGTTCTGTCAGATTAAGATCGTTTGTGAAATCTAAAACTCTGGCTTCTTTTTATGTATTTAATCAGTTTAATAATCAGAATAACAAGTTTAATGTTTTCCCAGTATTATCTGTGTTCCATGTTGACAATGTCAGACAAACACTTTAACATAATTCTGTTTTATTTTGTCTTTCAGATCCTATCTTAAGAAACAGATACCCTGGGGTCAAAGGTGAGTCCTGGCTCTGATGACGTCACTCTCTCCATCTACATGCTGTGTTTTCAGTTTGGCTCCAGAGACCATTTACAACACTCATTCATTATTATTATTATTATTATTATTATTTATTTATTAGCTCTGTAGAGTCTGGACTTTAAGATTTACTCTGGACTTTATGTGACTTTGGATTTATTTTCTGTCTCTGAAACAAACAAACAAACAAACAGAGAGACAACATCACAATATTGGAGTTGTACTAAACATTTTAAATCAGCTTAAACTTTTCCTTCTGATTCTGTTTAGTTATAATGTTTCTAAAGTGTTTTATACAGTTTAATGTTTTTAATTTCAGGAATAATATATTAGTAATAAATCAATCTGGTAATATTTTATCTTAGTATAAAAACTAGCTGTGTGAGTTATATGTGTTTCCCCGTATATGAAGTTGTACAAAGTAACACATTCTGGCAAAGTACAGTAGTGCAAATTATTTTCATCATTTTAAATGATTATTTGTTTTCCTGCATAATTTATTATCAGTTATGACACAAAAAGTTTCTTGCATTTTGTTTCTTGCATGATTTATTCAAAATTTAGAATCTATTAACTATATTATCTGTGGGCGCCTGGTTAGCTCAGTGGGTAGAGCTGGCGACCCATGTACTGAGGCTGAGTCCTTGGTGCAGTGGCCCAGGGTTTGAATCCGACCTGCGGCCCTTTACTGCGTGTCATCCCCTCTCTGTCCATTTTTTGAAATGACCATTTACAACACTGAAACATTATTATTATTATTATTATTATTATTATTACTATTAGTAATCCAATCCAATCCACTTTATTTATATAGTACGATTTTAACAAACAAAAGGTTTCCAAAGTGCTGCACAAAAAGTAGTAGTAGTATTATTCATTATTATTATTAAAACATAAACAAAACAAAAAAAGAAATACAAAAAATCAAAAAGATAATGCACTCCAATTAAATCTTTCATCATCAAATTTATAAAAGCTATGATGGATTGCATTATAATGCAGTCCAATACAGCACCATGAATCAGAAATAGAATTTGCTGTTGTAAATAGTTGCTTGATCTATGATGTTCTGTCATGTTCTATTGTGTTCTTTATTGTCTGTTCACACTTTATTCACAGGTGCAGCTCCAGAGCCGTCTGTCACTACACTTGATGATACAAAGGACTGGGCTCTGCTGCAGTGTGTTGTTAAAGGTGCTTCTCCACAACCTAAAGTAGAGTGGAAGGACAGTGCTGGAAACATCCTTCCTGCTAAAGAACCACAGGTCACAGAAAGAGGAGGAAGCTACGACGTCACTCTCAACATTACTGTAACCAAGACTGACCGCTATCGCTGTGTTGTAACTCAGGAGGAAATTAACCATCAGATTTTTGCTGAGACTTCTGTGTATATCCAAGGTCAGTGATATTTTAATCATCTAATAATTTTATAGTGTTTTATATTTGTATTTATATTTGACAGCATATTTCACTGAATGAATCTCTATTAAATTAGGAATGAATACATCAGACAGACAAAAACAAAGCATTACCTACTAAACCTTTATAATGGTTCTGGTAAAAGTCTCCTCTGATTGGTTGATGGTCTGTTCAGTTGCATCCAGAAGCATTTTGGTCTTTCCCCGTTGATAACAATAACACCTCTTGGTAATCTAAAATGAAGTGAGAGGTTGCAGTGAATGGGTTTGTTGATGTCAGACTACAAACCTGTTGATTTACAGTAAAATAAATGATCAGACTTGAATCTGAGAACATGTTCTCAAAAGCTGAATGATGGACTTTTATATTAATGAGTTAAAAGTTTATTTAGCTTAAAGAGTCTCATAAATGAATCCAGACTGTGTATCATTCTGCTCCCATTGTGCCCCAATAACTGCAGAGCCGACCCACCACCAAGAAGCACATAATGATTTTAATGTGGACTTCACTGGACAGCAGTCAGTGGAGGAAGAACAACTCACATTATTAACTTCAGTAAAAGTAGTGAAACCACAGAGTAAAAATACTCTGTTACAAGTAAAAGTCCACTTGAGTAAAATCAGTGTCTCACTGCATGGTACGGCTCGGCTCGGCTCGGCTCAGCCACTCAACAGTAAATGATTACTGTGTGTCTGAAATGGAGCAGCCACGTTGATATTTGAGCAGCGTTTGGTTGGTAGCTGCTGCTCATTTCCCCCCCTGTTGTGTTCATGTTGTTGTTGTGTTTCAGAGAAACTGTGCTCATTGAGAAGTGCAGCATGAAACTTTTAGTACTGAAACATTTGAGCTCTGTCTCCTGAAGCAGAACTTCTGCTGCCTTTTGGAGGTTTGCAGGTTGCAAATCAACAGTCACATTACATTTTTACCAACAAGCTTTTTGATGACGAGAGGCTGATGAGATGAAATACTCGCTCTTCAGATGTGTCACTGAATGGATGTTCCAACACTAAAGCTATTTTTCAGTGACATAAAAACCCTCTTGTGATTCCCAGCTCTTGTCACTGCCACTTGTTCACTGGCGTGCACAGACTGAAGGTCAGCCCCAACTCTGAGCCTCCTTTCTCTATAGTTTGTGGCTACTTTCCAGTTGAGATGGCAGCGTGCACAAAACGAGGCCTGTAGTGCAGCTCCACAGGCTGCCTGTACTGCCTGTTTGAAATCTCTTGCACCGGCTGTTTGTGAGTTCACACCTGGACAACTTCAATGTACATATATGTGATTATTGAACAAAGATTAGTGCAGCACCAAACTACAATGAGTTCCAGCACACACACTGATTGTTACAGTTGAGCCTGTTGGTGTAAATATGAGCTCATACTAACTACTAGGTGTGACTGTGGTTGAACTGATTGAACCAAGTGATAAAACTAGTTTGCTACATGAACACAATATATGAGCTGCTGAGTGAGTAGAAGAGCTCATAGAAAATAATCTGACTCTGAGTGACAATGACAACATGAACCATCAAACATCATCACAGCTTTGAACTCACTCTGACTAAATATACATTACTTTACTACTTTAAGGACAGTTCCTTTATATTTGACACAATAATCAGATATTGCTGAAAGGAGAAGTTAGGCAGCAGATTTCTCTCTGAATGAATCCACATTGTTTTTGTCAAGTCTGTTTTATTGAGGAAGGATTCCAAAATGTAGGACATGAGAGTGCAGTGTACATTTTCATTGAAGAGAAGCAAAGCTAATACAACAGATAGTATCAACATCACTTAACTGAACAACATATACTCTGAACTCACCCTCCCTCCCTCCCTCCCTCCCTTCTGCTCAGGAAGTACTGTACAACAATAAAGGTTGCAGTGGAAAGATAGTAAAAGAACAAGTGATGGAAATTGTATTGTCCAGTAAAGTACACAGGGAGTGTACATTATTGGTTGTTTCTCAGGTAGCAGACAAAGGGCAGCCAGATGTGATCAAACTGTGACTGTCTGTTCTTCAGAGAGAACCTTATTTTGTCAAGGTGAAGGGTGTTGGTCATTTCATTGAGCCACAGCTTCTGAATGAATCCATATTAAACATTCCTGAATACATCTAGACCAGGGGTCACCAACCTTTTTGAAACTGAGAGCTACTTTATGGGTACTGAGTCATACGAAGGGCTACCAGTTTGATACACTCTTCTGAAATAACAAATTTGCTCAGTTTGCCTTTAGTTATATAACATCATTAATGATTAATGATACTCATCTATGTGAAGACACTGATCACGTTAATGATTTCTCACAATAATTATCAACAACGACTTAACAAGGTGGGAAACAGATAATATCAATATTCAACTCTTTATTTCTATTAATCTCAGCAATTGTTTAAATTTTCAGATGATCCCTTCAACAACATTTCATTAGCCACTAAACTTTAAACAAATCATGAACTATGTGGCACCATGTTTGAAAAGGTTATCAATTATGTAATGTTTAAGAACAATCAACTTCCAAAGTCCAGCATCCAAGTTGAACGTTGCACTTAGTTGTTCAGCCATGCATGTTATGTCCACGTTCAAGAAAGGATTGGAGATGAATGACACACATGGCTCAAGCTGATCAAGGTCACAGAACCTATTCTCAAACTCTTGCCCAAGCCTGTTTAGGACTTGACAGTACTTTTCTGCAACTTTGTCGAATGTCTCAGATGCAGAAGCATTGTCTTTCAGCACCGACAGCACAGAGGGAAAGTGCAGCACCTTTTTTCTCTGTGAATGCACAGAGAAAATGTTCATCTTGGCTTTAAATGCATTTAAAGCACTTATCATATCAACAACAGTCTTACCTTTACCTTGCAGCTCGCAGTTCAAGTGGTTTAGTTTCCCAGTAATGTCCATTAAAAATGCAAGGTCAAGTGTCCCCTCTGTGTCCTCTAGCAGCGAGACGTCTTCGCATTTGGACTGCATGAACTCTTTGATTTCACCCAAAAGGGCAACAAACGAAGTAAAACTCGTCCTCTGCTGAGCCATCGGATTCCTGTGTGTAGCAGCAGGTCACCATATTCAGCTGACATCTCCTCCAACAGATCCCGGTCCAGCTGAACGACCAAGTTACCGGACATAGCCGACACTCGTCTATCCATCGTAGATGCCCCCAGTTGGACATCGGAGAGAGTGGAGATTCAATCAGTTCCATCTTTCTCAGTGTTAGCAATTATCATCATTGCTTCTTTGACAACTTCTCCGTCTGAAAATGCCTTCTTCTTCTTCTTTATCAGAAAATGTGTAGCTCTAAACGAGGCTTCGGTTGCTTTTTGGGAGTCTTTCGCCGGCCTCGTGAAAAAAGACTGCTGCTTACCCAAAGCTGCCTTTAGCTCCCAGGCTTATTCTACCCGTAGCGCACTGCACGCTGGGTAGTTGGCGTGGTAGCTCTTGTGACACGTAATGAAGTGTCTCTCCACATTGTTCCACTTTGCCGTCGCCACAGTCGCCTCGCAAATGAGACACACGCAGGTTTCTTTCGCAGTAGTAAAAAAGAACTCTCCCTCCCATTCACTGTGAAAATGATACGTTTTCTTTCTTTTTCTGCCATGTTTTTGGGGTAAGAAACCGCGTTCAGCTCCCGATCTTCGCTGCGCCCGCGAATGCTGAAATTTTGTCATGGCCTCAAAACTTTGACCTTTCCAACTTCAACACTGGTGAGTTGTGCTATTTTTAGAACAGGCCTGCGGGCGACTCAAGTGGTCCTTGGGGGCGACCTGTGTTGGTGACCCCTGATATAGACAGACAGAAACAGAGCAACACCTACTAAATCTTTACAGAGGATTTGAGTCTGAGATGAGTATCAGCAGAATGTACTTAAAGAAGCAAAAGTATAATAAAAAAGTATTATATTTTATATGTTGATCATGTGTTTGTATGTTAGATCAAATTAAATAACTACATCAGTCTGATAAATGTAAAGAGTTCAATATTTCCCTCTGAAATGTAGTGAAGTAGAAGTATAAAGTAGTATAAAGTGAAAATACTCGAGTAAAGTACAAGTAGCTCAAACTTGTAGTGAAGCCCAGTCCTTGAGTCCTCGTCCCCGTCTGTCTCTAAATGTTTGTTAATCTGAGTTATAGTCAGTGAGTCAAACCTGTCGCCAAAACCTGAATTTGAGATCTGAGCAGCACGACAATGTTGAGCAGAAGTTTCTCACTGATCCAATTTCTGAAACGAGGTGTGTTTGATTTTAAAAAGCCTGTGTTTCATATTTCAGAAGAGTTTTTATATTAGTTGAGTGCAATAAAAAGTACTGTATGAATCTCAGGGAAAGGTTTGGACAGGCCTCATGTTTGTCTCATTATTGTTGGAACAGTTCACCTCTCGTCTCATTCGGGGCTGATTTGGTCAATGTGAAATATTTGATCAGAATTGAATTAGTATGGATTGTAGAGTGATTGATCAATTCAAATGATAAAACATAACAAAGCTGTAGTTTTAAAGATCAAATAATGAGAATGCTCTCCTTCCTTTGGAGACAATGTGCTGCGTTCACACTGCAGGTAAAAGTGGCCCAATCAGATAGTTTTGCTCATATGTGACTCAATCACATGAATGTGATCTTTTAAACTCTGATTTGGGACAGCTACGTTCACACTGCAAGCCTTAGTGCTCAATTCTGATTCATTGCTCACATCACATTCTTTGTTTTGTTTGGCTGTTCACATTATGTTTAAGATGTGGCCCATATCAGATTCCAGTGTGAACAGGTCCCGGTCCTGAAGTGAACCGCGTGACCAACGTGGATCTAGAGTGACGTAAAAGTCACATGAATTTGAATATGACTGTTGAATGAAAGTGGCCCAAATCAGAATGTAAAAGATCAGATTCAGTGTGATTGGTGCTGTTCACACTGTTCTAAAACAATCAGATCTGAGTCCCATTAATGATCCAATCAATCAGATTTGGGCCACTTGTGTCTGCAGTGTGAACCAGGGTTGGAGTTCTGTGGGAGCCAGTGGGAGTGGAGCTCCCATAAGAAGGGGTCTGAGCTCCCATGAAAGCAGTAAAACCCTCCGTCTGTGGGGGGGGTCACTAATACATTACCAACAAGCATTATTTGAAAGCATTTTTCAATGTAATGAGGATTCTATCTCTCTGTACTGACTGCTTGCTTTCTATTGGATTTACCACTGGCACAACCCGATGCATCCTCCCACTAGTGGAGTGCTACATAGGATAGGGTACTGTGCACCCGCGCTCAGCACTGTGTAAATATTAACACCTACTTTCATATGATACCAAAAAGGGTGGAAATGTGTTCTCCCTTTGAGTGACGGCTCTCTGTTGGCACATTTCAGTCTGTTCATACTTTGTTGCAACATCGTAGGAAAGTTTCAGGTTGTTGGAATCTACTTGATACAATTGTTGTAATTAGTGTGTGTGTGTGTGTGTGTGTGTGTGTGTGTGTGTGTGTGTGTGTGTGTGTGTGTGTGTGTGTGTGTGTGTGTGTGTGGTCCAGATCAGATTCAGCTCTGATGTTTTGCAGTGTGACCTCAGTGTGAACAGTCGTATCAGAAGTCATGTGACTTTTACGTCACTCTAGATCCACATTCATCATGCTGCTCACTTCAGGACCGGGACCTGTTCACACTGGAATCTGATATTCAAACAATAACGTGAGCAGCCAAACAAAAAGAATCCGATGTGAGCAATAAATTTGAATTGAGCTCTAAGTGTTGCAGTGTGAACGTACTCCAGTGAAATCTTCCATCAGCTGCTGTTGGCTACAAAAGAACAATTGAAACCAATTGAATGATGAGTTTTCTGTTCTGGCAGCATGAGACTGTTGATCAAAGACACTCAGTGGCCCATTTATTAGCTCCACCTGTACAATCTATTAAGTAGATTAGATTCAACTTTCACATTATCATTGCACAGAGTACAAGTACTGAGACAACACAATGCAGCTGAGCTTCTAAGCAGAAGTACAAACAGCAGTTGAGTGCAGAGTGTGTCCATATGTACAGGGCTAATAAATAGAATAAACAGTAAGGGCTAGATATGAATCCACTGAGATATATACAGTATGAACATGTGCAGCAGTACAGTAGGCACAATATATAGTGCTGTATAAGTGGAAGACATTATATCCACAATAAACAGCTCTGATATGAATATGGTGGATACACTATAGATGATATATACAGTATGGACTGTAGTATAAATATGTAGATATTATAATTCAATACAACAGCTCTGCCATAAATTCCACCTTTCCAAAGTTTGTAATGTTCACTTTTTGTTGACTTTTAAATGTGTAAATGAAACTAAGTTTGTTACTGAGCTCATATTAAAGGTGCTGTTGTACTGGACTACATTATACTGAGAGCTGTTTCTATTTTATTGTCCTCCCTGTTTACACACATGAGAGAGACAGAATATTAGAATCCCCTCTGAATATAATGCAGTCCAGTACAACAGCACCACTAACTATGAGCTCAGTGATAACACATATGATTGAATGAACAGCTCTCTGACAGTGTAGAAACAAAGTGAACATTATAGACATCAATAAAGGAACTTAATGACACAACAGTTGTATTGATTGCATTAGATTGTACAGGTGTACCTAATAAAGTGACCACTGAGTGTTTGTGTCACTGACACAATGAAACCCTGATAACACAAGGGCTGCACATGCTTTAACACCCTATGTTTCAGATTTATAACACATTTTATATTACTGTAGTGGGATAGAAAATATTGTCCACATATCAGAGAACAGATTTAATGTGATACATTTTAAAATATTATTATTAATATATATATTAATAGACATATTGTAGTCTTTAAGAGATTTAAACGTTTTCCAAACGTTTTCCCAGTATATATGTGTATATGTGTGTGTATATGTATATGTGTGTGTATATATATATAGTTCTTCTGTCACGATATGAGTCAGAAATAGTGTTTGTAAATGGTTCACACAACTTTAGAACTGTTGACATATCATGTCCTACAATATTATCAATTATTTATTTTATGTTCACAGGTGCAGCTACAAAACCAAATGTTGCAACACTTGATCAAACAACACAATGGGGTCTGCTGCAGTGTGCTGTTGAAGGTGTTTCTCCACAACCTAAAGTAGAGTGGAAGGACAGTGCTGGAAACATCCTTCATGCTAAAGAACCACAGGTCACAGAAAGAGGAGGAAGCTACGATGTCATCCTCAACATTACTGTAACCAAGACCGACCGCTATCAATGTGTTGTTACTCAGGAGGAAATCAACCATCACATTTCTGCTGAGACATATGTGCTTTTCAGTGGTGAGATTCTTTCTACTCATTTTTTTTTATTATATCAGATTATTTTATTTGTTTCCTAAATACATTTTTATGTTTTCAGACTGACAACAAATGAAAGTTGAAAATGTTTCAATCTGAGCGTTAAATTCACTCTTATTCTGAGACTCTGAGACTTAATTAGTGTCCAGAGATAAGAGGAAGAATGAGAGGATCTGGAGGGAAATAACAGGAAGAACTGGAGTTTGTAGTAAATGTTGAGATCAGTCTGAGCAGTCACTCACTCACTCACACACACACACACACACACACACACACACACACACACACACACACACACACACACACACACACAACCCCAGTAATAGATGTATAAATGGCTGCTGCAACCTGATCCTGATGATCAGCATGAAAACAGCTGACGAGGGCGATTTAGAGACTGAAGTCATTAGAATCAGAGACATTTCTGTTCCACAAGTCAAAAGAAAAATAATGTTCTGAAAGTGAAGAATTATTGTTTCACATGTGCCACCAAAATACAGCGAGGCTCTGTGAAGGTTTTATTAGCTGTAATTAGATCAATAGAGAGAGAGTACTTTATTCATCTCAATGGGAAAGTGCAGTTTTACAGCAGCAAAGTTCCACATGAACCACAGAACAAACAACATAAAGACATTCAAAGATGGAGAGAAGATTTTATCATTTTATTTCTCAACTAGAAACTGAACTGAAAGTAAAAACTAGGACCAGACTTTAACTCTAAATCTATACAATGATAGTTCCTGCTAATACTGTGATACCATGGAGGCTCATACAGGCTTTGAGTGTCACTTCTTACTGCACAATGGAAACTTGTCATTAGTAGCATTGTGTTGCAGTGAGGGTCCCAGATGACAAACATGTTGGTAGAAATGTAGCTTCATTGACTGCAGCAGAGTGTTGGTTGATTCCAAGCAGAACTAACTTCAAATCCAGCATCAGGTTTTGAGTTGAAGTGAAAATGGAGATGAAAACAAGAGTGAAAGTGTCACAATGTGATTTGTAAATGTGAGCAGGAATCCTCCTCCTCTGTCTGAGTGTGAAAGCAGGAGTTCACTAATGTTCACCTCTTCCCACATTTACTAACATTTGGCTTGTGCTTTGTATTAAATGTGACTGTGTGCAGCTCACTGAAGCATGTGGGCTGATTCAACCAATCACAGCTGATGTATGATTGAAGCATAAGGCTGTAGCACAGAGGACACAAAATGGCGACACAGTGCGATTCTCCAGCTGTGGTTTCCAGTCAGATGTGTGATTGTGCCTGCAGCTTCCTGACAGCAGAAGTATTCAGTGTAAATAGGTTGAACTTCACATTGTTGTGCAGTAAATGAAGCAACAAGCTACCAATCAATAACTCTGCTCTGGATTTCTCTCAGCACAGGAAACACACTGAAAGCTTTATCACTGAATCTACAACACAAACATTTGAATCTTCACATTTGTGGACAGCACTCAGTGGTGGAAGAAGTAATCAGATTATTTACTTTAAGGAAAAGTAAAAGTCCTGCTTTCACAATTCCACCATCAGTTCAATATAAAGTAGCAAAACTATTATAAAAGTATTATATTGTGTACATTGATCACATGTTTTATATGTGAAATCAAAGTAAGTAGCTCTATCTGTCAAATGTAGTGCAGTAAAAAGTGGAATATTTCCCTCTGAAATGTAGTGAAGTTGAAGTATAAAGCAGCATCAAATGGAAATACTCAGTAAAGTAGCTCAGAATTGTACTTTTACTGCTCAGTGAAGCAGAAAGCGAGCTAAGCTGCACATTCAGCTGAATGGGTGATATTTGATTTGAACAAAGCTCATCAATACGAGCTGTAACAACAACCATGATCAAATAAAGATGTGTTTATAAGACGTAATCCAGAGTCCATCACAGCCTGGGCTCAGGGTGTAGAGAACTGGGCTGTACACACATTGTCACACACATTTGCAGATCTCAGGCACAGCAGCAGTTTAACACAAGTCCCATGGAAACAGTGTGAAGTAGAGGAGGCAGGACAGTGATTCAAACAGTCTTCTACTGATGAGCAGCACGTCTCAGAAACAGGACGATGCTACAACATCACCCTCCTCACTACTGTGAGCAGAACCACAACCAAGCTCTCAGCTGTGGACATTTCAGGAGCACACACACCTTTAGTTGTTGTTTGTGTGGCTGATGTCCAATCTGCTGTGTGTGATATACACTTACATTCTGAGGGTCACATTCACTCTCTGTCATCTGTTTCAGAGGCCAAACCCCAGACTGCAGACTCCACTGGATTGGTTGTTGGTGTTTTAGTTGCAGTTGTCATCTCTCTTATTGTTGGTGGTTGTGTTGGTTTTGTTCTAGCTAAGAGGAAGGTAAGTTTGAAGAATTCTAATTACATTCTAATCTTCATGATAAACAAACAACACAATACATTCTTTACATTTATCTGATGTTTAGAGTCTTTCAGTTGTTTTATCTTCTCAGACATTAATCATTCTGTTGGTATTTACACTCAGATTAGGATCAAGTCATTTTGGATTTTCTTGAATATAACTGTATTTCTTTTCTTGCAGATGAGAGGAGCGAGAACCCCTAGTATGACTCCAATACAACAACACCTTTCAGGGAGATACTGATCCAGAATCGTAACTATCTCTCCATGTGCTGTGCAGTTGTCTGCTCCAGTGTGTGTGTGCTGTAGCAGTTAAACTTTGTGAGAATCACTTTGAGTTTTAGACCATACTGTATGATAGTGAGGACATTTTGGCTGCTCCTCACTTTAATGGTTAAGACCTGGTTTTAAGGTTAAAGTTTCATTAGTTTCAGGTTGGGGGGGGGGTGGTTTGGTGGGGGGGGGGGGGGGGGGGGGGGGGGGGGGGGTGTGGGGGGGGGGGGGGGGGGGGAGGGGGGGATTGGTTTCCATTACCCCCCACAAAAATTTTTCTTTTTTTTAAATTTTTTTTTTTTTTTCCTCCATAAAAATTTTTCCCCCCCAAAAAAAAAAAAAAAAAAAAAAAAAAAATTTTTTATTTGTTTAAAAAAAAAAAAATATATAATAAAAAAAAAAATAAAAACAACCAAAAAAAAAAAAGTTTTTTAAAAAAAAAAAGAGGGAGAGGGGAGAGAGGGGGGGGGTTTAAAAAAAAAAGAGAGGGGGGAAAAAAGGGAAAAAAAAAGGGGAGGGGTGGCCTTTAATGCAGACAGAGCTGATTATTAATGAATCATTCTGTTAATGAGAATTGAATGAATAGTTTGTGTTGAACTCTGATATTTGCTGTGATTGAGTTCCACTCTTTTGCAGCTTTAAGAGAACAAATATTGACTAAACACACTTTTACTCTGTTATTAATGTGGTTGAGGACAAAGACGACTTCTTGCACTCTGTTCTGTTGCTTTTATTCTTTTCTTTTTTAGATGAATTTTCATTCCAGGCAGCATAATGTAAAGTCCTAATCAAACTGCCCACTGGACTCTTGTTGAGGACATTATACTGTAGCACCTCGATGAATAAGACGGAGCTACACAGAAACAAACTAATGTGATAAATAATGAGACAGCAAAGCAGGATAATAGAACAAGTAATGACATCAAATAAAGTAACACACAGCAGAATTCAAATGGACCAAGTTAAAAAGGGACCTGATTAAAGTCAACTTCTGATAAAAGAGAATTTGATATCAGTGTTTAAAGCTAAGGGGCTCAGACCAAAAACGCCTCCTGATGGTCAGAGCAGCACCTTGCATGGTAGCTCTCTGCCATCAGTGAGTGAGTGAGTGTGAATGGATGAATGAGGGGCAGAAGTGCAGTATAAACACTGTCTATTTACCAATATTATCAGACTGCTTGTAGTTGTTAAAGGTCCTAACTGAGCTACACATGGCCATTAAAAGCCTTCACTGAACTAAAGCTGCTCTTACTGGAAATGAATGTGAATGTTTTGCAGCTAAAGTGAAATATAATGTGACTTTGTGTTTTATTGACATATTTGTGTTATTGACATTATTTGGGACAACCCTGTATTGTTTGTTTATTTGTTAAGGTGAGTCAGAGTGTGTCAGGTACAGTTCCACACTGAACTCCACACTCAGTGTCCAGTTTATTAGGTCCACCTAGCTAAAGCTAATGCAGGCTAATACAACAGTCCTGCATAATAAAGTGTTGCTGACTGATGTTTGAATTGTCTCAAAGTTCATGTATGTTTCTGTTGTTTGCTGATGATGCATTTGGAAGCTATCATGTAATCTCAGGCAGTGCTTCATCATTTCTATACAAACGTTTGAATAAAAGCTGAAAAATGTCAAACTGTGTGTTGGGACTGTTTTTGATGTTTCTGTGTGTTCAGACTGTTTTAGGTAGAATCTAACATAACACAGCATGGATTGTATAAGTGATTTATGGATTAGTCCAGTGTTTCTCACACTCTTTACAGCAATACCATGCTCTCCAAGCTCCACTATTATGACTGACGTTAAAATACAGTAGTGTAGGCTGAACCTATTCAGCTATAGACAGTTCATGCAGGAGGCAGGTTTATTCCTCATAAGAAGATTATTGTTGACTGAATGTAACTACTTCTACGGTAGCCCAGAAAGGAAAACCAAACACTGGCTGTAGATAGGGACCAAGCCCCCAGGAAGAGTGTTGGTTGGTGCTGTGTAAGGTGATGAGACTTGGCAGCCGGCGGTACCCACCCATTATATCAGACCTCAAACAACTTCTTTGGAAATGTAAACCATACAAGTATTTTTTTCCTTCCTCTCTTTTGATTGGGCGTCATTACGACTGCAGCTGTGTGCCTGTGTGGGTGTGTGTGGGATTTCTGAACTTGCACAGAAACAACTCTTTTTTTCTTCAACAAGATAGACTTG